ATATATATATATATATATATATATATATGCATGCTTTTATTTCTTATTACGTCAGGTTTGGTCCTCCATACCTCAGGTCTTGCAGACGACCTTGAAATCGTTTCTGTATTTAGAAACTGTCTGACTGTTTTTTCTGATCTGAAGTTTTTTCTTATTAAATCAACTATTTTTATTTCTTGTAATTTTCTGACTGTTTTTTTCTTCTTGTTATTCATTATTTTCTTTGTCTGCAGGTGTTCGGCTTCCTGGCCATGTTGGCGTTTATCCTTGACGTCGTCTTCTTCCTGAAGGTCAAAGGTAATCCCTTCCAGGGCACTAAGGCCCCGCCCACCACCAACGGCGCCGTTCCTCCGCCTGAGGCCGAGAAGCTGAACGGAGACGCCAACGGAAAGGCGTAGGACACCGCGCGCCTGCAGGGGGCGCTCCGCCTGCCAATCAGAACCGCCTGAGACACAAACTGGTTTTATTACTGAAGATTCGGAACCAGCAGACACTAAAACAACCAAACCACTAAACTCTGCTCCACTGGGAATCACACGGCTTACTGGTTCTGACTGGTTTTAACTGGTTTTAACTGGTTTTAACTGGTTTTAACTGGTTTTCTCTTGCTCTGCCAGCTTTGCTTTTTAACAGTTGCCTTGAAATTCTCACTATCTTGTAGAAATGATGTAAGCTCCTTATTAACTTGCCACCATTTCTTGACGTTTTTAGAAAATGTTTTAAAAAATGAATTTTTCTGTAAATTTTCTGATTTTTGTATATTTGTCCACTTGGATCGCTTTAGGAAGTTTATTTTATTCCCTGAAGGAAGATGAATGTTTATTTTTTAAATGAATCAGACAGAAACTGTTCAGCTGTTTATGTCCAAATGAAAAGTTTCATGTCAATCATCTGCAGGTTTCACTGAAATCAGGAGGAACCTGAAGATCTAAAGTGAAATGCCTTTCACTGTCCAGCAGGGGGAGCTGTAATCTGATTTGAGTCGTTTTCCATAATTTTCCCTGAAATCAGTTTCTTCTAATCTGAAACATGAAACGGTGAACCGTGTAAAGTTCCTGCAGCCGATGGGATTTATCTCCATCCTGCTGCCAGCAGCTTCGTGTTTCTAAATGTTTCTGTCGCTTAGACAGAAACTGATCATATCGGATCTTCGGTTTGGTCCGGGTTCAACGTCTGTCCTGCTGTTACACTTTTAATCGTCTTAAAGGAAACTACTTCCTGTCAGGCTGAGGGAACCACTTCCTGATTTTTAATAGAAAACAACAGTTTCAGGATGATCTTCAGCCTTTTCTGCTGTTTTATAAATGTTCAGTAATCCCTCAGATTGAACCGTTTATGCTAATATTGTTGATTTATCTCCATATTGTTGGTTTTATCTCCATATTGTTGGTTTTATCTCCATATTGTTGGTTTTATCTCCATATTGTTGGTTTTATCTCCATATTGTTGGTTTTATCTCCATATTGTTGGTTTTATGCCCGTAGACTAGAGAGGACTGCAAGTTAAAGGAGAGCAGTTGTTTCTCCTCCTGGTTTAGTTTCTTCCTGATCGACCTGAACACGTTTGAATCTGTTTTATTGCCAATAATGACAATCATGTAAAAATACAAATGCTAGTGGTTTTTCTGTCAGACGATCCTGTTTTGTATCGGCGTGTCGCTCTTCAGAGCCAAATCAAATGTTTTCTATGATTTATATGAAGTGTAACTTCCTGTTCCTCTGTTTGCTGCATTTTAATAAACTCTTTAACTTTATTCATGTTTTGCTTCTGGTTTCTTCCTATTCCAACATCTGGACCACTTCAGTTCTGCAGCAACTGCCAGGCTCTTGATTTGAAGAGCTTTATTTTGTGAATTACTTCTTCCTCTAATTGGTTTAAAGGGCCAGTGTCGGGTAAATTTTTCCCTCATCAAAACAAACCTGGAGTGTTGCCTTGATTTCACAAATCCTCTGATCTCCATGGCAACCATTCAGCTTCAAACGCCTGGGTGGGCCTACCCTTCTCCGAGGCGCAGCTCCTCCCCCACTCAGCTCCTTCAGACTAGTCAGCAGCAATCAGCAACAACCTCTACTTTAGTTTGACAGATAAGTTCAAAGCGATGCTGCAGGAACACATTTAATTATCCATATCGGCTCTTTTCAGTTTGCATTTTAATGATCTGATGACATGTTAAGAAGCATAAAATATTAAACATTTCTTTATTCCATGTAATAATTTAAGGATGACATTTAGCTTTGTCCCTTTTGGCACTCCGTAGAAGAGCTCCAGATGTTTGTTCATCTTCTCTGGATTCAACCGAGTCCAGCTGATTCACTCAGTACCTGGGAAGTCTGCCCAGTTCTCCCAGTTCTCCCAGCTGCCTGACGGATGCACTGCACCGGTTTGTCCAGCAGGTGACAGTAAACGGCTTCACCAGAACTTCAATATTTGACAATTCAAGGAGAATAACAACCCAACAAACGTGATTCAGGAGGACCGGCTGGGTTCTGGTTCTGGTTCTGGCTGGTTTCTGGTTCTGGTTCTGCCTGGTTCTGGTTCTGGCTGGGTTCTGGTTCTGGTTCTGGTTCTGACTGGTTCTGGTTCTGGTTCTGACTGGTTTCTGGTTCTAGTTCTAACTGGGTTCTGGTTCTGCCTGGTTCTGGTTCTGGTTCTGGCTGGTTTCTGGTTCTGGTTGTGTTGAAGGGACATTATTCTGTGTTTTCCATTCACATATTTCCATTTTACAGTCCAGTAATTATGTTGCATTCAGATCTTATAAAATAATAAACATACTGCTCAAAAAAATAAAGGGAACATTTCACTTTAATTTTGTGTGTGGCTCCAAATCCAGGCCTCCATTGGTTAATAAATTTGATTTCCATTGATGATTTTTGTGTGATTTTATTGTCGGCACATTCGACTTTGTACAGACCAAAGTATTCAATGAGAATATTTCATTCATTCAGATCTAGGATGTGTTATTTGGGTGTTCCCTTTATTTTTTTGAGCAGTGTACATAAACTATGACTAAATAAATTTCATTGCCTGATTTAACATCTTGAAATTGGGTCTCTGCCTCTTTAAGAAGCTCCTGCTCTTCCTGAAGCTCCGCCTCCAGGAAATCATCCCAACATGGTTCCTCTATTAACCCTTTAATGTTTTTACCAGCGCTGCTCTGAGCAGCAGCTCCTATAATGAGCTCAGCAGCTGTTTGCTAATTGCTGCTGGCTAGTCTGAAGGAGCTGATTGGGGGAGGAGCAGCGCCTCGGAGGCGGGGCTAGGTCCACCCAGGCGTTTTGCCTGAAAGAATGAAGGCAACACTCCTGGAAAAAACATTCAAACATGATAGAGCAATTTTAAAAAATTGATTTTACATGATAGTGGCCCTTTAAATTGTAACTCATCTATAGTCTGGAGGGCCACACAAGTGGCCGTGGTGAGCCGGATTCGGCCCGCGGGCCTTGACTTTAACACGGGTTCTATGGCTGCTGAAAGTTTTTACTGAATAATAGGGTTGAATCTGTTGTGTGTTTTTAAAGAGTTAAAATCAGATTCAAAGTATTTTAGGACTGGAGTGGTTTCTAGTCTTTGGTTTAATTTTGACCTTTGACCCAGTTTACCTCGTAGGCGCACTAATGATCAGACTTCCAGCTTTTTGACCTTCTAGCAGGTTTTATTGGCTGCGAGCTGAACTTTATTTCGTCTTTTAAAAGTTCAGATGGGGGGGCTCTAGTGAAGAAAGCCACAAACTCCGGGAAAAACAAGACTATGGACGGGTACATTGGCGGTGCTAATGCTACCGAGGCTAATGCTAATGTAAGAAGTGGCCATACGGAGCGAACCCAGAGACTGGCTCCAGGGGAAAGACCCGGATGCTCGAGATGAGCCAGGAAATATGTAAAACTACACAGCAAATTCAAAAGTGTTAAATGTTTTGGTGTTAGTAGATTTTTTTCAAAAGCAGAGTTAATTTTATTCTAACATTCTGTTAATGTAACTCTCGGGTGTATAATATTAGTAGTTAAAATAAGGTGTTAAAATGGAATTAGTAACTCTAACCTCCTACAGCGGCTATAACACTGTTGGAGTAAATTCACCCCCATTTTCACAGTTTTCCAACGAACCGAAGCGACCGAAACAAATATTCACAATTTGTTTCCACATGGGCCAGTTGTTCGCCACGCTTGGTCAGTATTTTTTTTCTGAGATGGTTTTAATTATCATTAATATTTTGAGTTGAAGCCAACCTATGTGACGGGCGGTGATGCGGCATAAGTATGGTTTAGCAAATTCATTATTCATTAGCTGAAATTCGTTGTTTGCAGGTAAAACTATAGCATTGAAAAATGCGTGCAGATGAACACTGACTTCTTTTTTGCTAACTTAAATACATCTTATGCAATTTTCATATTGTGAAAGGCTGACAGTCATGTCGATGCTTTCCGAACACGACGCTACCCTGCCAGCATGCCTAGGTGGGCCCCATGTGGGGAAAAGGAGGGCAGACCATATCGGTCCCATATGGGTTTGCCCATGTAGGGCCACAGCCCACATGGGCCCTACATGGGCCCTATATGGTGGTGGCCCACATGGGTTTGTCCATTTAGGGCCCATGTAGGGCCCATGTGGGCTGTGGCCCCACATGGGCAAACCCATGTGGGGCCATCATGGAACCCGCGGACAAACCCATATGTGACCCATATATCAGCCCTCCTTTCACCCACATGGGGCCCACCTAGGCATGCTGGCTGCGGCAGCTGTTCTGATTCGGTTCTGAGTTCACATTTAAATTCCTCCAGAGTTTTGTCCACATCGTTTAAGTAAAATAAAAGGTTGAGGATTTGTATTTATTTTGGCACTAACTATTGTGCATTAAGACAAGACAATTTCAGCAAATTACTTTTGAGAATACAATCGTTTCTGAAATTGTCTTGTGAGCTGCTTGGGCCTCCATAAGTTCTGGCTCGTAGTTTTTTCCCTCTTTTTCTTTTTGCCAGGCCATTACCAAATCTTTTGCAAAGCTATTCTATCTTATTTTTAATTGATCTCTACACAGGAGATGCTTGCAAAGGTGGAATATGGTGGTGTACAGAAGTTAATGCAGACGTTTGATGAGTTGGTTAAATCTGTGCTCCAAGCTTTCAAAGTTGGATAGAAAAGCAGCCAACCTCAGGTAAAACAACGCTATAATAATTTGGTTTAGGCTTCTTCTTGATATTGGATGAATGTTGGTCAGATTTAACAACCTTTATGATCCCAAGTTTTTTTTTAAAACTGTAAAATCCTCTTACATGTTGAATGCTCACCAGACATAATTTGTGTTGTCGGGCATTATTCCAGGTGTTTTGCATTGTCATGGATTTTGCTGTAATTTTAAAAAAAAATTCTTTTATGGTCTTTTTTCTAGATTTTGAGATCTGTGTGGTGGAAGATGAAGCACCATCCTCAGTAACAATCCCTCTCGTCCGCCCAACATCATCAGTGTCCCCAGATTCCACAATTATTCTGAAAAGTTCTAAGAACCGTAAGAACGAACTTGGAGAGCTTGGTCATGAGGAAGCAAAACAGGTTAGAAGCAAAGCCAAAAGTTATTTCCAGTGCTTAAATGAATATTACAAGCACGAACATTTTGGGTGTTTGGATTTAATCTCTCACAGAAGGTGCACACTGCCCTGGGGTCAAACCCAGAGGGTGAGGAAATCATGAGTGAATACAACAAAACTAAAACACTGTCAGATGCAACTCGTCAACAAATGGTCAACATGCTGGTTGCAGATATGATAGAATAACACGGGTAAGACTTGTTGATGATGACAGAAAGCAGTGTTGAGTGAGCAGCATAGCAATTATTTTTGTTTTTGATAGGAGGATCCCACCTGTAAGTGTTCGGACTTGCTATGCACTGGGGATCGTAACGTTTTCCATATCTCCAAGATCCGTACTCAAAAAATGGCTATGTAAGTGTTAATATCTATGAAACCTGATGTCTCTGTTATTGATGGATGATGAAAGATAGTTGAAAATGTCTTCCTTTGTTCCATTTTTTTATTGCGTATGGTTTTTGTTGGATTGTGTGTGTGGCTGATGTACATCCATGAGCAGGAACATTTCTGTGATCCAGAGGCCAACCAGCGAAACACTTTGATGGAGCACTAGGGTCTCCCAAGCAAAACTTCCCAGATGGCCCAACAACAGAAAGAGGATCTTTGCTCGTTGGTGGACAGCTGTTTGGGGAGGAGGGCATGGAGGCCCCGCTGTCATTAGACAGACAGAAGATGGTTCATGACCCGGTGCTGCATCACCAGTCTTGGATATCTTCCCTCGTTTCCTTGATACCCCTGGGCTGGTGAGTATATTTATAGATATTTCACTTTAAATCTAAAAAGTGAAGAAAATATCCCAAAGGACACTAAAGTAACCAGTATTTGGTTTCTGTTTTTTCTTATTACAAGACTGACCAGGATTTCTCAATGATGCTTGAGGACGAAGTCTCGGGAAGATTTCTTTCCAAATGGTCTTATATTTGAAACAAAAAGTCATTGCAGAAAGCCAAAGTCTCCCATCAAGTCCTTCTGTTGAGTTACGAGCTTCTTGTGACCCAGAGCCCTCAAATGACTGTGGTAAATTGGGACAGTGTTTCAGTATATACTTACCTTTGTTTTCAGAAGTCAAATTTGATCTTTTACCTGAATTTCAAGATTTCTGTTTTCCAGTTCATTTTTAAACTTTTGTCTCAAATGTGCTTGTTGTCGTCTAGGATGGGATGGTGACCTGGCAGCTCTAATACTGTTACTGCAGCTCCTACCCCCAAATCAAGAGGCCACAAAAATCAGCAAAGATTAGCTCAGCAGCCAATCATGTAGTAAGATTCCTCAAGCTAAGCAGCATTAGCCTTTTTGTAAACCTCTTTGTAGCTCATGATTTCTGTCCTGTATGCTGCATGACTTTGTAAAAACGGTAAGCCTTGAAATAAAACCATGAAAGATGAAATTATGTCTTATCTATTGATCAGACAAGGGATCAACAAATACCATTATGGCTCTGCTTTAAAAAAAAGTTAATTGACAGATCTGGGGTCAGTAAACTCACATAGGCTGTTCAGAAAGAAATTAAAAAAGCATTACTATGTTGATCTTTTATTGTACTTGGATAAAGTTGTGTTCAGACAGGTTACTTGCTTGGGCCTGTAGAGATTATATGTAAACTTAACAGTTGAATTTTACTCATGACTGATGCCTGTCATTCAGATTACAGGAAGGAGCCAGTCTCTCTACCTTCCTGGACAAAGTTGCCACCAGGCATTGGTGAACAAAAGAAGAATATTCTGAGGTTCTTCATCGTTGGTATTCCATGTGCTGCTCCAACTTCAGTGGCTGCTTTTGATGGACTGTTCAAAGCTCACTTTGTCTTCAGCCTCTCATATGATGAAGCTCTTTCCAGTTTCTACACCTTCATTCAAACTACAATCTACAATATTGATGTTGGGAACACAGGAAAGCCCACGAGTCAAGGAGCTGAGAGCACGTCTCCTGCATTAAGAGGTGAAAGTGTCAAACTGCAGCAGAATATAGACGGGTGTAGGACGACTTAAAATCCATTTGACAATGTTCATATGCTTTGTTTGTAAAATCCACCACAAAGACTGTCAACATTTAAAATTTCATCATGGTTTATATCCTGCTAAAAGTTTATGTTTAAAATGTGGAGAGCAGGGTTGTGTTTCTTCTTTTTGCACTTACAATGGCTTTCGAAAACATCTTCACAATGTGCACAGTCATCATGATAAGCATGTAGGGATACAGCAGGAAGCTGTCATACAAACAAGTTCCTGCTGTTCGCACACAGGACTCGCTCGTCGCTCTATAGTCGCTCACTTACAGGTTCTGGTCTTTGTTCAGTCATTTGGAGGAACTTCTCACTGATGTTCAGAGTCAAGCAAGAGAAGCAGTACTCCAAACATTTTCTCCTGATAATCAGGAATCATTTACAGAAGAGTTGAACACAGTTTAAACCAATTACAAAACCCTTTTTCAAATTTTAACAGGTGTTTATAGCCAAATACCTGTAAGGGACAAATACATGTATGTGCCTGTTTTAGGTCCAATAGATTATTCTATTTTTAAGAATAGTGAAATTAGAGAACTTTTCTTGCATGAGAAACAAAGACAAACAGGTTTATACAAAGACATTACTGATGGATTATATTTCCAAAATCATCCTCTGTTTTCACAACAGAAATATGCTTCACAAATTTTGCTTTATTATGATGATTTTGAAACTGCTAACCCATTAGGTTCCAAAAAAGGGATGCATAAATTGGGCTGCATTTATTTCACAATACTAAACCTCCCACCAAAGGTAAACTCTGTGCTAATGAATGTGCATTTGGCTGCTCTGTTCTACACAGAAGATTTTAAAAAATATGGTTTTGAAGAAATACTTCAAAACCATATTGATGACTGATGACTTGAAAATTTTAGAAACCAAAGGAATCCTGCTTCCATTTATTGAAGAGCCAGTGTTTGGTTCTGTTAGTCAAGTTACGGGTGACAACCTTGCTTTAAATGGCTTGTTGGGTTTTGTTGAGTCATTTGGTGCAACACACTGGTGCAGATTTAGTTTGATAAACAAGGAAGAAATTCAGCCTGTTTTTAATGTCCTTCGCTCCAGAAAACGTCATTCTGAACATTGTAATGCATGAAGTGAAGACCCTGCTGGTAGAAGACCTTGTGTTCTCAATTCATTAGAATATTTTCACAGTACTGACAATTATGCTATTGATATAATGCATGATTTGTTAGAAGGGGTCGTACAGTAGGAGCTCAAACTTTTTTTCCAATACATGATCAAAAATGGATATATTCTATTAGCACATTATTAGACAGGATCCAAAGTTTTAATTATGGCTTTGTGGAGCCCAAAAATAAACCAAGTGTGTTAAAATAGATGACAACAAGCACTTAGGTTTAAATGCTATTCAAACATTATGTATCCTCTGTAATGCTCCCCTCAGTTATAGCTGGAACCTTGTTCTCCTGTTGCAGATTGTTGACATTGTGTTGATTCCCATTGATGGCATGATGTTATCTGAAACATCTGATCTGTGGTCACCATCACATGCTTACGAACTTGTTCCCTGACCAAAAATTAATTCCTAAACACCACCTAATGATTCACTATCCAAGGTGTATTAAGAAAATTGGCCCTCTTATCTACATATGGTGTATGCGTTTCGAAGCCAAGCACAACTTTTTTAAAAAGTCCATAAAACATTTTAAAAACCTTAAAAAGTCTCTTGTAAAGAAGCATCAGCGTCAATTGGCCTTTAATTATGAAAAGTATTGTTTTACAAGATTTGAGTTTGGTCCCTTAAAATTGAGAACGGTTAACACCTTGGAAGGTGGACATGTATTATTATTAAGTGTTTCCACCACTAGATGGGTAAAAATGTGTGGTATTGAATATCATGTTGGTCTTTACTTATGTAATGGATGTTTAGTGATGTTTAGTCTTTAAGAAAATTTGCCTTATTATTGTGCATAAACAACATGGGCTCATATCATAACCTTTGATGATCATTTCCATTCGTACAGAACAAAGTGATGAACATTTGCATTGACCAACTCACATAAAACCCTTTGACAAACAATATTGTAATGAAGGTGAGAACATGTGCTTTGTTCCATATTGTTACATGTTTTAGAAAGTTTTAAAGTGTGGTGCTGTTTTAGAATAAATGCTTTTCAGAAAAATCATCGCCTCTTAAATGTTTATTTCAATGAATTTATAAGGATTTTTTAAAATTTCAGAACAATAAAATTTTCACCTTTTTAGTAATAATTACATACAACTCTTATGTAGTTACAAAAAAAACTCCCTGTAGAGTTAATATTTAGGCTCCAACACTCAGGTAGTGTTAGCAAGTGTTAAAATATCAACTCCAGAAGATTTAATATTTGACACTTAATTAGAGTCAAGGTACCAACTCTCCAAAAAGAGTTAAATTAACACTTTCTGGTGTGGACCCATATAGACACTTTAAAAGTGTTGAAATCAAATCTCAGAGTTAATTTGGGCCTGCTGGATTTGCTGTGTATGTCGGCATCAATTCTTGAGAAATTGGATGAGCGCTTCGCTGCACAGACTGACCTGCAGAACCGCATGGCCGGCCAAGAATGAGCAACCAGAGGAGCGTCTGGGAGAACCTGAAATGTGAGGAGCTCACAAAGCCTGTAGCCCAGCAGCAAACTAAGTTACTGGACTTGGAGGCCCGCTCCCGAAGACATAACATCAAAATTATCGGCATCAAGGAAAACTCAGAAGAAGGGAGGCCGACTGAGTTTGTCTCGAAGCTCATCCCTGAACTACTGGGCAAACAACATTTCCCGCATCCACTGAAGGTTGACCGCCAAACCGCTCTCTGTGGCCCGAGGCGGGTGAGAAACCACGCACCATCACAGCCCGAATACATCACTTTCAGAGCAAAGAGCCAATTCTACGCCTCGCCAGGACGCAGCCGATGGAAAACAAGGGGGACAAAGTTTCCCGACTGCACCAGCGAAGTAATGAGCCAGCGGCGCCTTTCGGAACGTGATGCTGGGCTTGAGAGGGGATGGGATCAGGATCCAGCTGCGCTACCGGCCCGGCTGCTGGCGCAGTGGCAGGATGGTGACCCCCCTGAGGGATTCAGTGACCCGGCTCAGGCAGAGGCAGGAAGGGAAGCACGACTGAAAAGGACTAGTGAGATGTGGCTTTTTCTCTTTGCAGTCTGAAGGCGAGCTAATTCCGTTAAACTGTGGTTCGTCTGACAAACTATATTTTCTAAGAACATACAGACGTCCTGAGTGCATTTTGAAAGAGCCTGGTCTGTTCTTTCTGAAAACACATTTTAAGCTTATCTGGTAGAGTTGTTTAGTTCATTTATCGGTGTAATGATTGTTGTGGTGGAGGTGCCATGACTTGACTGAGTTCGGTCCGCCAGCTAAATACAGGAAGGCCCAGGCCTCCCTCCTAACTCAGCTTCTGTAAATGTACTCTAGAAATCCTAGCATTTTTCCCATTCCATATGATGTATTATACATCTATTTGGTGACCGGACTGTGGCACACACCACAAAAATGAGGGAGGCCTGGGGAAAGGAGCTGGGGATCACAGTCCCTGAACCCTTGTGGAACAGGTGCCTTTCTAAAATCAGCTCTTGTTCAATAAACAGCAGGCATCAGTTAATTCAGTTTAAAATCACTCATCGGTTACACTACTCAAAGGTCAGATTGCACAAGATTTACCCCTCTGTCTCTCCAATGTGTGACAGGTGTAACATGTCTGAAGGCACACTGTCTCATGCTTTTTGGTCTTGTCCTTCACTAACTGGTCTTTGGTCAAAAATAGTTGATTGGTACTCCAAGGCATATAAGACTCTCTTACAGCCTGAACCAGGACTTGGATGCCCCCAGGTGCCCGGGTCTATACCTGCTGTAATGCGGCAGCCACTGGAACTGGGACTGATTGTTGCCAAGAGACTAAGAGACCGGAGGTCCTCTGTTTACGTCACCCACCTGTGGGAGACGGACATGACGTCCATGATACAGATGGAGAGGCTTCGGAAAGACTCTGAAGACACTTTGTCATGTCACTGGACTCCCTTCTTGGAACACTTTGCGAAGACTAAGCTGATCAAATGGTCTCTCCCCTCGGTCGCCCTCCAGTGTGTGTATGTGTACCCTGGTATGTGCTGTGTGTGCAGAGGCGCAAAAAGCGGGTTTGCAGCACATGCAACGCATAGGGGCGCAGCACCAGAGGGGGCGCCAAAACCCCATCTGGAGGGGGCGGTTATGTCTTCGAATCCGCCTGAATAATGTGCAGTTGCGCCACTGTGTGTGTGTACACCACAGGTCAACCGCAATGTCTTATGCTTTGACCTGTGCATCTGGGCCTTGTTTAACTGTATGTTCTAAACTTTGAAAACTTAAAATAAAATGTATTAAAAAAAAAAGTTCAGATGGAAACATTTTGGCTTCAATGTTTCATGGGAACCTGGACCAGCAGCAGTCTGACATCTTCTTTGTTTCCCAGAGTTAATATTAATCCTCAGATCTGACCGAAGGTCCAACATTTAAGCATGTCGGTTTCTGACCCAGTGACCGACCCGACAGGCCACTCGCTCCCGTCTCCGATCCAGCTGCTTCTGCTCCGTGTCTGCAGGGAGAAACATGAACTCTGTCACTTCAGAGTCAGAGGCGTCCAAGGAAAACGTCACTCCGACCTTCCAGCGCGGCCTCCTGCTGAAATGAGAAGTTTCTCTGCTGAGGCCTCGTTGTTTCCCTAAAAGGAAGTGGAAACCGCTCTCTGCTCAAACAGCCTTTATTCTTCTGAGAGGAACGACAGCACATCGATAACTGCAGACATAAATCACTGCAGCCTGCGGTTCCCACAGCTCCATGCGACCCGAACACAACCTGCTGAAATTCAGACCAAACTCCTGAAAAGACGAGTTTCTGTTTTTCTTGTTTCCTCCAGAGTTTCTTCATCCCACACAGAAGACTCCAGGATCATGGACCTGAAATTGGCAACTGTTTATGTGACGCTGTCTTTTATTATTGTGTCTATGATGTCTGCTGCAGATTCATTTCACTCCAGGATGATAATAACAACGACTGGAAAACGCCCTGAACGCCATAAACCCGGAGGCCTCCGTCGACCTCAGCGCTAACGCTGCTGAGCCACAAGTCTCTGCTCTCCCCTCCACAGAGAGCAGCTCCGTCAAAAAATAACAGCAATAATTTGGGTTATCTACGTAAATATTTAGCCTGATAACTTAACATT